GGAAGTCCAGCAACATAGCCATTATGCTAACTGTTGATCCCAGCTTTCTCTGTTTAAAACACTTCCTGCTCTATCCTCTCCTCTCCTCTCCATCTTCCTGGTCACTACCCAACCCCTGTCATCACCCGCTCATCTTCCTTAACAGAAGGAAATAAGCAGGGACTATCTGAAATGCAACCTGAATTCTACTCACTCTCCTGCATTACTGGGGGTGTGTGTGCATGTCCCAAACACGCGTGTAGCCCGCGGGGCACACTCGCAGCCCTCTCCCTCCTGTCCCCGCCCTCTCTCTGACGTCCGACAGGCCCCGGGGCCTCTGCACTTGTTACCCTCGTCATCTCCGACACCTCCTCCAGGATCTCCAGTGGAGGGCTCCATCCACCCTTTGGTCTTGGTGGAATTCTGCCTCTTCAGACACCGTCCTGGACCACCTGACCTGAGCTCTGTCCACGCCACGCTCTCCCACACCCGCCCGGTTCCTCACGCCCCACACCTCTCACGGCCTGCACTTCTCTGCACTTGTCTGTGTCCGCCTCTCCTCGGAGCATGAGCTTCCTGGTCTACCTGGTTCATTGGTCTCTCCAGCATTCAGAACAGACGCTAGGACATAGGAGATGCTCAGTAAGTAGCATCTTACCAAGTAAATGGAGCCTCCATGGGCCTTTGGGATCAAGGGTCTGCTCTCTGAGTCACCAGCAGTGGAGATCTTTTATTTAGCACGCAGAGCTGTGGCAGTGTGTGTGAGTGTGAGTGTGTATGTGTGTACACGCACGCACGCACACGCATGGGTGTGTAGGAGCTATCTAAGATACAACTTCCGCTTTCTAGATAACCCCAGTCCAACCCTTTTCAGGGATGGGAGTGAGGAGGGGAGTCCCACGCACGCACGCACACGCATGGGTGTGTAGGAGCTATCTAAGATACAACTTCCGCTTTCTAGATAACCCCAGTCCAACCCTTTTCAGGGATGGGAGTGAGGAGGGGAGTCCGCCAGACGCTCTGCTCATGACCTGGGGCAATCTCGCTTCGATATTATCATCTATAAAATGGTAGTGTCGAAAACAGTGTCGCCATGGCAGAGCCGTGGTGAGGCCGTCACATAGCCGTGGGGCTGTGTACAGGGGATCTGCTGCGGGGCACAGAGGCTACTCCGAGAGCTGCTGTTACAGGATGGCGTACCCCAGCTCCACAGACAGGAACAGAAGTGACCTGCTCAACTGGGCCCAGCGCTGGCTCCGGGCTGTTTGCTGCCATCCCTCTCAGAAGTCCATGTCCCCAGAAGTCCACGCAGCAGCTGTCCTCCCACCCGTCCCGGAGACTTGATTTCTCCAGGCGTGCTGACACCACCCCCACGGCAGTGCCCTCTCCACTCATCCCCGGGAAACCTGCCAGGGATGTTTACACCTCTGGGCCTCCGCTCCTGCTGCTCCAGCGCTTCCTGACGCCTGGATCACCTCGGCCCTCCCACGCCTTCCCTAGCTTTGAAAATCCTTCAAGACCATCCAGCCTCAGCTCCCCAGGGAGTCCCCTAAGAGCCCCTGTCCCATCATTTCTCCCTCCTCTGCTGTTCCCAGCTCACCCAGCTTCCTTCTCAGAGCACAGCCCAGGCTGAGGCCCATCACCTGGCCAAGTGGGGGCTACCTGAGCACAGGACCCCAGCCCAGCCAACCTCCATCTCCTCCCAAGGGCCTGGCAGCAGCACGGCCGCTCACCCAGGGCTGTCCCCCAGACCTGCAAGGGGCACTTCCCTCACCACACAGCCGCCTCTTCCCCTTCTTTCTGGTCTTTCTCTGGTCTTTGTCGTCAGCTCCTCTCTTCTTCCCTTCCGAATCTCCCTCCCTTCCTGTCTGCTCTCTGGACCTCCCGCCTGTCTCTCACTGCCCTCTCCCTCTCTTGTGCTGTCTCCCTTCCCTTCTTAGTGCCTGATGTTCACATCTACGTCTCAGGGCACGTCTGGTCCCCGGAGCTTCTGGAACCGACCTTGAGCATGGTCTCTCTCTGTGGATGGCTGTTTTTGTGGCATGCCTCGGCTGTGGTGCAGCTGGGCCTGTCACGACCTGGAAGAAGAGGCAGCCCTCGGTCGTTCAAGGCTATCTTTGGAAGCCATCTTTGAAATCTAGCCTAAAACCAGATCCTGCATCTTCTCACATGCTAATGGGGAAACTGAGGCATGAAGACGGGAACTGACAGCTTTAGAACGTTCTTTCTCATTCCACGAGATACATCTCCACAGATGAGAGGAGGGGGCTAACCCAGACCCCTGCCAGACCGCGGTCTGTGCCTCTGGCCTCGGCCCATCTAGAAAGTCTACATTCCTCACTGGGCTAACCCAGACCCCTGCCAGGCCGCGGTCTGTGCCTCTGGCCTCGGCCCATCTTCACACTCTCTCTGTACTGCGCTGGTTCCGTCTCAGGGCTTTAAGTATGCTCAGGTTCTCGGCCTCAGCCCAGAGCTCCAGACTTCAC